AGTGCAAGGAGCACAGGTGTCTCCCTCGCCGGCAGTTTCGACTCTCCGCTGGGACCATCAACTGTCTTGACTGAACTCGCTTGAACTGGTGCCGGCTTCTGAATCTCCTGTCGTGGGGCAAAGCCCTTCAAGGCCTCTTGCGTCCCGGCAACCCCATTATGTACTGGAGGGTACGATACGGGCCGTTCGGGTTCGTGGCGGATGTTCTGCGTGGGCGGTACTGGCGAAGGCAAGCTGTGGTGCTGTACATTCTTGGGAATCGAGTGGTTCGGATGGATCAACGGCGAAGGTTGGACTTGTTGGACATGAGGGCCATGTCCTAGGGACGGATCATCCGTGGTTGCAGTGTGTTGTAAAGTGTCGAAGCGAGGCCGTTGAAATACAGGCAGTAGTCGCTCCGCTAGTCGTCGACCTCTGGAGCCCAAAGTTAGCCATATACCACACCAGACGGGATGCGGTGCAAAGACCAGGGGGCCGATGCACCGGAGATTGAGACGGTAGAACGTACTGAAGTATTTCACAGTCGAATAGGAACTTTGCTTCGCCGGGCGAGGCGGGACGCGTATCCAGGTCGTCCAGGTCGTAACTGGGGAAGCCATCTTCGTCGGTCGCTACAGCATACAACTCTCTGAGCTTCCGTTTGCGCGACGTCACAATTGAACTGCGTCGAGTCAACACGATGTTCGGTACACCAAAATGATCGGACAGATGCGCTCTATCGATTGGGATACATCTTACTTTGCTTCCGCCCGCTTTGAATGCAGCAGCTTCCGGCGGTCGGCGGGTCCGACCTCAGTCATGTCATCGGCGGCCGCGACATCCGTTTATCAATTAAACGGATGTTCCACTGGGTGCGGTGGGGCCGTAGCAGATGAAAAACGAGGCGACGATGGATAGATTACGATGGCGTTGCGATTTTGATCGCTGCGTTGATTGATTTAGCGACGCGAATGAAGGTGATAAATTCTGTTTTTTGCCTTGATCGCGCTTTTGGAGGGGGATGATGCCAGGTAATTGGCCAAGACAGTTTAGCACTGGTAGGGAGGGATCTCTCTTGACGGAGGGGAACCAAGGTCGATAAGCTTAAATTTGTTAAGGTCCTATCGGGCGACAAACAGCGTGACAAAAGAACAACAAAAACCCGAGTGACTGTGCCGGGGCGCTCCTGCTGCAAAAAGGTGGTTCGAGATGCAGTACTCTTGTACCTGTGTTGGGAGGGAAACGGCGCTGGGAGGCAAAGGTTGCAGCGCACAGAGGTTCTGTAAATAACGGGTGTTTGGAGCCTTCCGGGAGGTACCTGCTTAACCTAGGTTAGGTAGGTATTGGACCATTCTCCAACTCCTGGTGTGGCATATGAAGGAATGGAGAGAAAGAACAAAAGACAGGCAGGCAGGATGGAAATATCAACATGCCAGTTGCCCGGATGCGGGGTTTGCTTCTCATTGAGGAGAAGCAGCTTCTCCAGAGGGCTTTGATTTCCCCTCAACCAAACCCCATCGGTCGGTTCTGCAGTAGTATCGAATGGTAAGACCATCCATCTCGTTACTTCTCCCGAGTGCTCTTGACACATCCATCCCCACTGGCTTTCTTGGGAAGGAGGCAGATCTGGGTTTGCTAGGATCCATCCGTCCACAGCCGTGGGAATTTTCGCGGGAATCGAGATTCGAGCGAGTCAAGAATCCAAGTATGTGACCCCGGCATGGCTCGGACGGACTCTTTCTTCCTAAATGAGTACCACTCAAACAACACTCGCTGTGATGGAACTTGGGAGAGGGATGGAAGCAAACCATCCCATGTGAGCAAAAGGGGCAATCGAAAAGTAAGTGAAGTAGTGAAAGTGGAAGTGCCGGATAGGTAGTGGTGGGATAGGCAACAACTTCATTGACATATCACCAAGCAACTGAAGTTTCTTAGTTTTGCTTGAAAAGAGGAGGTATCTGCGTTGGGGGTCTGGTTTCCAGAGCATCCAGAGAAGGGGCGGCATAAGTGATGACGAGTAGAATATGCAAATCTGCGTGTTGCTGTGGTGGTTGCATGCCGCGAAAAAGGACAAAAGGTGTAAAAGACGGCCCCTTGGGAGCAGGAACAAGCTGCTGGACGTGGGGGCCATCATGAGAAGGCACCCATGTTGCTGGAATCAGAACCCGCTGTAAAGTCCATAAGGTATCGAAATCGGGATGAAAAGTGAAAGGTTGAGCAGACAGGTCCTCCTTTTATAATGTTGTGGAAAGAGGGCGTAGGTTCAGGACATGTTCTCGTCGGTGTTGTTGACGCAGGCGAGGCAGGCTACTACCTCGTCCGCTTGTACCAGACTCAGCTTGTGTCAGGAGACTTGCCTGCCTGCGAGTCCGTCTTCAGCCAGCCCCCAAGGGCCCGAGTGGGTGTTTCGGGACGCGTGCCCTGTGTAAATAGGTGGTCTGTGCGCTATCCAAGCGGCTCTCTACCAAGTATTCTGACCTAGCCGATAAGCGACTACCAACCGCTTATCGCCCCAGCGCGTCAACCAGATCGCATTGATTCAACCTCAAATGTCCAAAACTAAAGTCTAACTTGACATCATCAACCTTCAAGTTCTTGACTTGTAGATCGGAGAACAGCAACCACAATGAACGACCAAGACTCCAAACCCCGGGTGACCATCGCCCTAGGGACAACAACATCATCTTCCTCATCCAGCTTCAAAACCAAGAAACCCAGTCGACCAACACATACCAGGCGACACCGCGCCGGCGCCGGCGCCTCATGCTCCGAATCCGAAGAAGACGATGACGACGAAACCGGCGGTGGTGCACAACGCAGTAGCGGTGGTCGCGTCCAAGTAATTACCGAAATATCAACCTATGGCGATGACGACGACAACGACCGTTCCTCCAAAACTCGGGATCGTTCAGATCGAGATCGCAACCGAGACCGTAGCAGAGATAGGCACAGGGATGGGGGCGACAGAGACCGTGATCACAGGAGAGACAGGTCCAGAAAAAGGTCAATGGATAGATCGGGAGACAGGAACAGAGACAGAGACAGAGACTCCCGTCGACGACACTCAAGATCTCGCTCCCGGGACCGCAAACCAAGAGAATCACAAAACACCAAAGACCCAGAACCCGCTGCTGCTCCTCCCCAAAAATGGGGTCTAACAATCAATCCAAAATCCTCTTCTACCAGCAAACCCCATCAACCCCCAACCTCACGGAACTCACGTCCCCGTTCCCCCTCCCCAAACCCAGAAAAAGAAGACCAAAACCCCCAAACACTAGAAGAACAAGCCCTCTCCTCCCTCCTCGACCTAGATAACAAGGGTCCCTCCTCAAAAAGAAAACGTTCTCCTTCTTCCGGTAGCGATTGCGATCGCGACCGCTCCCCAGACCATTCCGACTACCGCGCCATTCCCATCGACGACTTCGGCGCCACTTTACTCAAACAATTTGGTTGGGACGGCAAGATGCGGGGGAAAGTGAAGGAAGTTTCGCACAAGCACGCGAATTTGGCCGGGCTGGGAGCCAAGGACGCCAAAGGGGCCGAGGAGCTGGATGCTTGGAACCAGAAGATTAGTGGACGGGGCGGAGACTCAAGAGGGAGGCCTGTTAGGCTGGAGGATTACAGGCGGGAGGAGAGCAAGAAGAAGCAGAGGACCGAGTATCGACATGGGGAAAGCAGTTATAAGCAGGAGAGGGAACGGGAGAGGGAGAGGGAAAGGGAAAGGAGGGAGGATAGGTGATAAGGTCCTTGGTACTTCCCTGTGGCCTTGTTCTCAATGCTCTTACAGCCGTCGCAATTTCCCCGATGACACAGCAACGACTCGGTTTTCACCATCTCAAGCGGGTTACTTTTATGTTGACCTTCGTGTGGCCAGATTGCTCGGGGTTTCGCCTGACATAAACCATACCAAAGAACATCCTTTGGTATCACTGGGAAAGACATCATTGTGTAACACGTTTCTTTTCCCTAATTAAATGATACTAAAGCAAAACTACAACTTAACCCTATAGAGTAGGTAAATACAAATTTCCAGAATTCCCCGTCACTGGCGTTGCTGTTATCCAGTGCTGACTTTTCAACGCCAGGGGTGTAAACGGAACCGCAACAGCGTGCGTTCGCAACGATCCTGACTTCGTCCTCCCTCATATCTGAACCTTGTCAGGCAAATATCGACCCAAAGCTCCATCCATCGGCCTAATCGGACCCCAAGACTAGTCTAGTCCATAACATCTTCCTCCTTACTTGTTAGGAGACGCAACCCTGGCAGGAGAAGCAATCTTAGGCTCTACAACCTCATCAAGGACTGAGACGGTGTTATCACTGCTGCTAGTCTTAGAAGCTGCGGCTCCCTGCAATCCTTCCAGCTCCGCCGCCTTCTGGGCGCTGAACTTCCTCGCCGAGACTTTTTCGTGGAAAAGAATGCTGAGTCCACGGACAGAGATGTCCTTGGTCTCCGGGATGCGGAGAAACGTGTACAGAGCTCCAATACCACAGCAGCCTGCGTAAAGGAAACCTGTTTTGGCACCCCATCTCCAGCTCGCCTTGTCCATCCCGAGCATCTTTGGGGTAAGGAAAAGGTTGAAAAGATTGGCCGTCAGGTAAAGGCCGCGTGCGAGAGAAATGGTCTGTGTGCGGAGACGAACCGACGCGATCTCGGCCACGATCGAGTAGCAAATGGGACCAATGGTCAGGTCGTAGATGGCAGTATACAAAACGAGGACCGCTCCAGCAGCGAACCCGGACGCCGAACTTCTAGCCAGCGTGGCGAGACCGCACCCAGTAAGCACGACGGCCATGCTGATTAGGCCCCAGAAGAAGATCTGCCGACGTCCCATCTTTTGCATCACCCACCAAGAAGCAATTGTGCCCACAATCCCAGCACACGGCAAGCCAATGTTCATGGCCAATGCCTCGCTGGCTCCCATACCAGCAGACTCGAATAGTTTGGGAGCCCAGCCGATGAGGCTCGAGCCGCAGAGGGCCTGGATGACCCAAGCAGCGCAGGCAATCTCGGTGCGTCTTCTGTCAACGCCCCTGAACATGGCGCTGATTTTCTGCCATCTGGTTTGGTCGTCGGCAACGTGCTTCATTTCGTGGCAGATGGAGTGCTGCATCAAAGCTAGCTTCTCCTCGGTGCGCTCCTCGGATCCCTTGCGGACGAGCTTCTTGACTGCCTTGCGGGCATCCGCCACCCTGTGGTTCTTGAGATACCAGTAGGGCGATTCGGGGGTAGCGGCAATGGCACAGAAGAGGACGGCGATGAAGGCCCAGTTAAGGCCGAAGGGGATTCTGTAGGCCCATTCACTCTCAATCTTGTGAAATCCGAAGGCAACGGCAGAAGCCAGGAGCTGACCAATGATCCAGCAGAGGTTGTTCCAGGTGGTCAAGACGGGCCGCATCCGCAGTGAAGCAACCTCGGAGGAGTAGGCGGGACTAACGACTTGAAATGCGCCCCACGGGATGCCCTGGAGCAAAAAGCCGGCCGACAAGATGTAGACGTTTCCGGCGAAGAAGGGTACGAAGGCAAATGCCGCGCAGAGGGCGAGCATCAGAAGAACAGTTCGCTTGTACCCAATGAACCTAACAACGGGGGCGGTGAGGCCGACGCCAATGATCGAGCCGATCTGGGCCAACAAGGGTAGAGTAGCCTTCCATTTGTACTCGAGCTGATGAGACATATGTGTTAGCGCTGTCTTCTGTCTCTTGGACGACACGATCCTAACCGCTATCAGACCGAGAAGTGCAATATACCTCGTGTTTCTCGCCACCGTCGAGTTGGATACCGTATTTACTATTGAAAGGCTCGACGCTGAAGAGATAGGTGAGGAGTGCCAAGCCATAGCCCTCCATGATGATAGTCCCGGAGAAACCCAGCGAGTACATAATCAGACGAAGATCTCCGCTGACTGCTTCCTTGAAAGTCATCTCCTTTTCCTTCTTCTCTGCGAGATGGGCTAGGTCTTGGTCATATTCACCAGCACCGAAGAACTGGGTTTGGTTGGATGTGGCATTATTGCGTGCCTGGGTCGAAGGACGGGGCGTTGATGTTGCTTTCTCCTCATCGCCGGATTCGAGGGGCCCTCGAGGGGCAGGGTGGTCGTTGTTGGACATGGTAGTGACGAGTCAAGTGTGGTTTAGAGATGACGAAAGTTGATGGTACGACGAAAGTTGTCGAGCGTGGTGGTGGTAACACTGTTGGCGGTGCCAGAGACACAAGAATGTATTTCTGGTTCAGGGAAGTATAGTGTGGTACCAGTGGTTGATGATAAAAGTCTATCGATGTTTCGTTTGGAACGAACGACGGCGAGCTTGGATGATGATGGAAGTCTGATGGATAGAGTGTGTGGTGGGAGGTTCAGAACTGGGAGAAGAGTTGGGGTTTTAGCTGGAGAAGGGAACTGAAATGACGGATTTGTGGGAAACAGAACAAGTGGCCACATGCGAGAGGGAATTTTTTGAAGCATGCAGTACTGGCTTATTTGGAAGTCCGCTTGTGCCAACATTTAGAGAGGGGAAGCTGCATTTGTGGTCAAGTGGCAGCAGATGTCCTCTTCGGACTTGAGGCTTTGTGGCAGAACCGCAATGAAATCTTGGACGGCAGGATAGTTTCTGCATTACGGTACCGCGTGCTCGGTTAAGACTGTCGGTCTACAGCAAGCGCGTCCCAGTACGGCTCAGGTTATACATGAGAAAGAACCACGCACAATATGGGATAGGTAGGAACAGAGGATCACTGAGACCGGAAGATGGGCAAGATGGAGGAAAGAACAACAGTGTCGGTGCCCTCTGGGTTTTGCTCGACGGAGCTGTCAAGGGAGGTACTAGACAGAGGCAGGTACTGATCTCTTTCCCACATAAATATCCTTCACATGACTGATCCAAGATGCGGGCCTTCCCGCATAACTTGAAATGCTGACCGTGAACACTACCTAAACAGGTGGCAGATCGGAAGGAAGTCCGGTGTGTGCAGTCACTCAAGCCTCCGCCCTGGCATCTGATGAAGAGCAGTCAGCTATCATCACCACAGGAAAACCAACACCACCATCGTCATCGCCACCGCCGAAAAAGACAGTATCCCTCTTGCATTTTTTGGGGTGTTCCGGGGGAACCTTCCAGCTCCTGCAGACTGATGCGTGAAGCACCCTTTCTGCAGCACTGGTCTGAGAACTTCAAGTTGGAGCATCTGTCCGCATCGAGCTCCTTAGCAGTGTGGCTACGCGTCATGGAATTACGATACTTGTTTCATGCCACATATCTTCTAACTGTGGGTGTGAGCTGCTGCAGATGATGAAGAAAGCAACAACCAGTTTGAAAGGTTGGGGGACCACTACAGTCCGAGTTTCTCACGTCCGTCTTTACGGCATTTCCACAAAATTGGATATCAAAAGCAAACACCAGAGAGGAGTGTACAAATGCTATGCATGTCGAACGCCGTACTCAACAGTCTCGGCCGGACAATAACAGTTGGATATTTTTTGTTCGTCCGGCATCAGCCTCCAGATAGATATGTAGAAGCTCGTGAACCTCAGAATGGCCAAAGCACAACTAAAACAATGGCCGGAGTTTTTTTGCCGCTATTTGTAGGCAATAGTATGACTGCCGTGGAAAGCCATTTTCGGTTGTCATCAGTTCGTACCGGCAGTATATGGCAGCAAGGCTAGAAAAGGCTTGAGGGGGCCTTCGCGATGGTCTATGAGTTAAGACTTTACCATGGTCGTTAAGGAATTGGTTATTCAGTCATCTCTTGTGCGAACGACTTACACCTCGTCGTCAACCGTGAGCATCATACCGACAAATCACGATGGACCGGGACACTTTTGCTTCGTTTTCTACAACGGCGAATCGGCAGACGTGCCGAAATGCATGGACCAGTCGTGCCTTCTTCCTTGGTTTATCGTATCTGCAACCGATGATCGGCAGCTTGGCTTCAGGTTGGTGGACTGTTGACGTCGATTCCTAATAACGCCCAATCTGGACTCTTTGGTACGAGATAAATAAGTGTCTCTACAACTCACCAGGGTTTTTTTTTTCTTTCACAACAAGTAGACACAACCCAACAGCCAGCATCCTCAGAGTGATTCTAGTCATTTCTTCAAGTCCGAGTCTAGTCTTTTTCGGGAGAAATCACGTTGAACAATCATTGCCATGGTGGACAACCTGGACAGAGTCTGGTGGAAGGATGGAGTGGTCTATCAAATCTACCCGGCGTCCTTCAAGGACTCAAATGGAGACGGGTTGGGGGATATACCGGGCATCATCAGCAAGCTGGACTACATCCGAGAGTTGGGAGTCGATATGGTTTGGGTATCGCCAATGTATGGCTCGATTATTTGACACTTCAAAGATGACCATGAACAACGAGAGCTAACTCGCTTTCCTACAGGTTCGAGAGCCCCCAGGTAATAACACATCTTCCTCATATTTACTAGTGGCACAACTACTCGCTAACACGTCTGATATGAACAGGTCGACATGGGATACGACGTCTCCAACTATGAGGAGGTCTACCCTCCGTACGGCACAGTCAAGGACATGGAGGACCTGATCGGAGCTTGCCACAAGAGGTAACCCTCGCAAATCACAATGGCATTATCAGATATCTACTGACCCATGTTCAGAGGAATGAAGCTGATCCTCGACCTGGTCATCAACCACACCTCTGATCAACACGCCTGGTTCAAGGAGTCAAGATCCTCCAAGAACAATCCGAAGCGTGACTGGTATATCTGGAAGCCTCCTCGCTACGCCGAAGATGGAACGCGGCTTCCACCAACGAACTGGCGGAGTTACTTCTCCGGTAGCGCGTGGGAGTATGATGGACATACAGACGAGTATTACCTTCATCTGTTTGCCAAGGAGATGCCAGACCTAAACTGGGAGAGCGAGGAGTGCCGTAAAGCCATCTACGACAGCGCCATGCGGTTCTGGTTGGATAAGGGCGTCAATGGTTTCCGAGTTGACTGTGTGAATATGTTAGTACTCCTTGTAGCATCCCCTCATAACCAGAGCCAGGCACTGATATTCGACTCTTCTAGGTACTCGAAATCCACCGACTTCCTCGATGCCCCTATCGCCGACAAGCGCTTCTACGAACAACCAGCGTGGTGCCATTACGCCAACGGGCCGCGCATGCACGAGTTCCTGCGCGAGATGAACGAGAAGGTGCTCAACCGCCACGACGCTGTGACAGTCGGCGAGTTACCGCACACCCCTGACCCTAAGAAGGTACTCGACTACGTTGGACGCAAGGACAAGCAGCTCAGCATGGTGTTCCAGTTCGATATCGTAGACATTGGCCAAGGTGGCACCCACAAGTACCACTTTGAAGAATGGAAGCTGCCGGTGCTGAAGAAGATCGTCGTCAAGTGGCAATGCTTCATCGAGGGCACCGACGGATGGACGACCGCCTTCTGCGAAAACCACGACCAAGGCCGTTCCATCTCACGCTTCGCTTCGGACGCCCCCGAATACCGCATCCTCTCGGGCAAGATGCTCTCGCTGATGATGTGCTCCTTGACCGGAACGCTCTTCATCTACCAGGGCCAAGAGATCGGCATGATCAACGTGCCCAAGGACTGGCCGATCGACTACTACAAGGACATCGAGTCCGTCAACTTCTACAAGCTCATGGCTGCCAAGACCAACAACGACCCCGACGAGATGGCGTATGTGATGCGCAGCCTCCAGACTCTGAGCAGAGATAACGCCCGGATACCGATGCAGTGGGATGACAGTCCGTATGCTGGGTTCACCGAACGGAAGGAAGGTGCCTGGGCGCACGTCCACGACCTGTATCCTGAGATAAACGTGGCCAAGCAACTCGACGATCCGAACTCGACGCTCAACTTTTGGAGAGACATGCTCCGTTTCCGTAAGCAACACAGTGAGGTGCTCGTGCATGGCACGTTCGAGGCTTATGATATTGAGAACGAGAAGACGTTTGTGTTTGTCAAGAGATTCGGAGGTAAACGGGTTGTAGTTGCTCTGAACTTTAGCAGTGAGGAGCAGGAGGTTGTGCTGCCAGAGCATGAGACAGGGTTGAAGTTTATGGTTGGGAACTATGGAAACGAAGGAGGAGGAGGGGGCGAAAGGAGAAGGTTGAGGCCATGGGAGGGAAGACTGTACATGGCTGGAGGTGATGCTTGATAGATAGCAGTGAGATAAATGAGACTGGCCCCTTTTTTCAGATTTAATGTTGGATCTTGTATGGATCTTTTCAGCTCGAGGAGCATCAATGGGCTGCCTTCTGATGAGATGTGTCTTCAATGAATGACATTCAAACAATGTTGAACTTGAGGCTCCTCGCTTACGTCTAAGACATACGCTAGGCTTCTTCTAAACATAGAATAGGGGTCTAGGCCAGAGCGCAATCTAGATTCTCAGGGGTGAGGCATAGCTTGGGGTCTGGGGATGGAAAAAGAAAGGTCCAGGATGTTGTTGTTGAGGAGATGTGGGAGGTGATCCACTTGACGTTACGAGACGCTTGGGTAACGAGTATGGGGTCGAGACAAGGATGGCAGGGCTTTCTTCTTTCTCCCAGCTATCGTCTGATATATTATCTCAAGGCCCCGGATTGGGAGACCGGGAGAGCTCCGGTCTGGGTTGCGGAATCTTCCCGGAGGAAGTAAGACCAGACAAAACAGAAAGGAAGGAAAACCAGAAAATCTCAATTTACCTTATCTTTTTGGGATGAAGAGCCCGGGGGATTCTATGATGCCCCTTTCTTTTCAATCTTCCCCCATCTCTGTGTTACGGGTTACCAATAATGACGGGATGCATATCCGTGCCAACATGGTTTGGGGAACCCTGAATGCGTGATGCAGCTTGGAAGAAACAATGAACATGGAGAAAAGAACATGGGCAAGTGTGTAACGAGAACCCTTGTCCTCGGATATGCACGGTCACAGCTCCCCTTCTTGTGCACTGGCAGTCTGTGAGAAACAAGATGATGGACTGGGGAAGCTCCAAACAGCTCCAGCTCCAGCTTCACTTTCAGGAACAGGAACAGGAACATTTTCTCCTGGTGTCAAATGCCAATGTGGTTGAACAGTGACTGAGTATTGTCCCGTCCCCCGCCAAGGCACAGCTGCGTCACCAGATTGGCCAATTGACGTCCCAATTGAACTTGTTGAAACGGGCTGCAACCCCACATCAAATGGCCGGCCAGCTGTCGAGCTGTCCCAGCCACGGATCCACACCGCCCAGTAGCACATGCACCTGGCAGCGAGAGGGGTCCCAGCCTAGGTGCACCTCCAGTGAGAAGTTGTGGAAGTATCAACTGGAGCAGAGCCAAGACTGTTCGCCGGGGAAGTACACAGTTGAGGTTTGGCTTGGGTTGGGAGCTGGGACCACAGACCACACAGCTGCTTCAGAATGGAAGTTGGGGAGGGGGACAAGGATGAGATGGGGACGTGGGACGGGACACACTGGCATAACCGGGCACGAGCTCCAAGTTCATCCCATCTTTTGCTGGGGACCTGTCACGGGCCGCAGCTGTGTCTTCAAAACCTACTACCTAACCACCCCCTCCTCTTCTCTTCTCAGTTCTTTTTTTTTTTTTTTTTTTTTTTTTGTTCTCCATGTACTACTTGGAATCTTCCTGATCCCAAAGTACACACCTCTCCTCTACCCTCCACAACCACACAGAGAGTTCCGCACCGGATTGCTCTGCGGCGAGCTTCTGTCACCATGTCGGAGCCGCATAGCGTCAGCGGCGCGAAGCCCGCATACATCTTCGTCGAGACTCCCGCGCAGCCCCTCTCCAACACCGAGAAGCCCAAGGAGGATTATGGTGTTCGCACCACCACTGTATGTAACCATTTCTCTTGCTGTCATGGAAAAACGCGCTTCAAGACCGCGTCCGGTAGAGCTTTCTTTTACTAACACTCGGTTCCTTGTGTGATAGTTCCCGGCCATCAAGAATGCCCCGCTGCCCGCCGATGCTGCCGGCACCGAGAGCTTCTCCAACGTTTTGCTCTTCAGCATCCTCTTCGGTGTCCCCTACTACTTCTCATGGAAGGTCGGCGGTGGCTTGAAGACCACCCTCTTCTTTGCCCTCTTCACCACTCTTCCCCTGCTTGCCGCCTTCTGGGTGTCCCATTCCATGTTCTCCCCGCGCAAGAATGAGAAAGCCAGATTCCCCGGTCGCCCGGTGGAGCACTACCTCACCTTCAAGAACCCCGAGGACAAGCTCAAGTACAGCGGCAAGAACAAGATTCCCATGGAGACCTTCCACGAGATGTACTTCAACGAGGAGGTTGACTTCAACGGCGACGCTCTCGACGTCATGGAGTACCGCCACGACTGGGCCAGCTTCCATTTCACCTATGGCCTGATCAAGTTCTTCCTTACCGGCATGATCCCCGAGGTTCTCATGCACACTCGCTCCCAGGGTATGTCCACCTTCTTCCGCTGCTGCCGAAGCCACCCTGTCTTGTAACACCGTGCTAACAAGCTGGCACCATCAGATGAGGAGCAGGTCCGCGACCACTATGACCGCGGTGATGACTTCTACTCCTGGTTCCTCGGCCCTCGCATGATCTACACTTCCGGTATCATCTCTGACGCCAACAAGGAGGAGACTCTCGAGGAGCTCCAGGATAACAAGCTTGCCATTGTTTGCGAGAAGGCTGACCTCAAGGAGGGCGAGAGACTGCTCGACATCGGCTGCGGCTGGGGTACCCTCGCCCGCTTCGCCAGTGTCAACTATGGTGTCAAGGCTACTGGTATCACTCTCGGCCGTAACCAGACCGCTTGGGGTAACAAGGCTCTCCGCACCGCTGGCATTCCCGAGGAGCAGAGCAAGATTCTGTGCATGGACTACCGTGATATCCCCGTCTCCGAGGGCAAGTACAACAAGATCACATGTCTCGAGATGGCCGAGCACGTCGGTGTCCGTCATTTCAAGGGTTTCATGAAGCAGGTCTACAACATGCTCGATGATGATGGTATCGCTGTCTTCCAGCTCGCCGGTCTCCGTAAGAGCTGGCAGTACGAGGACTTGGTCTGGGGTCTCTTCATGAACAAGCACATTTTCCCTGGTGCTGATGCCTCTACTCCTCTCGGCTGGTACATTGATCAGTTCGAGAAGGCTGGTTTCGAGGTCCGTGCCGTTGACACCATTGGCGTCCACTACTCTGCTACTCTTTGGAGGTGGTACCGCAACTGGTTGGCCAACCGTGAGAAGGTTGTTGCCAAGTACGGCAAGAGATGGTTCCGCGTAAGTCTACATCTTTCCTCGGTACTATCGGTGTTCACATGCTAACTCACTGCTACAGATCTGGGAGTTCTTCCTTGCCTACTCTACCATCATCGCTCGCCAGGGCTCTGCCACTTGCTACCAGATGACCCTGGTCAAGAACCTCAACTCTACCCACAGAGCCGAGGCCATCCACACCCAGCAGGGTCTGCTCGGTGCTCTCAGGAACACCCGCGCCAACCTCAAGGCTTGGGCCCAGGCTAACGCCGCCGAGTTCCCCACTGTCCCTGCCAACTAGAAGCGGCAAGGCATGACAGATGGAGCGACAGATGGTTTGGGTGCTCATGACGTTCTCGAAGCTATCTACTGGCCAAGCTAGGACCTTGGCCACGACATGAATGATCGCGAAATGAATGATAGAGTCGCGCGTATGCCCTAGATCTCATAAACAAAAGGTCAGGTTGTATGGAAAAGGATATATACCATCGGATAAGTCAGGGCATTCGGAAGAACTTATCTGTATATAGACCTATGCGTTGTCTGCGGCATGACTGTATGGGATTAGACAAAAAAGAAAGCTCGATATGCACTGGCTGGTCACATGAGGTGGTCTATGTAGGAATATGGTAGTTGAAGAGGCACATCCATTGCATGTCTTGTTAACAATTTTGGCGCTAATATACCTACGGGCAAGGCTTTTTTTGGAAGGTATCTTCATCTACGTGGCTCATGAGTGGTGTAGCTGTAGTGTATCATCATGTACCAGATGCTCACTGTTGTTGAGTTGTGCCAAAGCATTCCTTGAAGCTTTCCTCACCTTTGGATAATGAGACGGAATCAACATGGTTCCAACCGAAATCATTGCGGTTCCAAGTCTGAGTATCGACGGTTCCCCTGCCTATTTTCGGTGATTCCGTCAACCTAATTAGCAGTATTACAGTCAACGTCAAGACTGAATGGTTCCGAGCAAAAAGCTCAGGTCTGGCATTCAATGACTGGCAAAACTAAAGAAGAAAGAAAGAAAAAAAGAAGAAAAGATAAAAAGAAAAAGGAACCACCTGCGAGATCTAAAGGATTCACGACAAGGAATCAACCAAATCCAATATGAACGTGAGAGAAGCGAATATTTACAACTTACAAACTGTCATACAACTCCCACTCATCTAAACCTGTTCTACCTGTACTTCTTCTAGCTGACGCTGAGCTAATCTGTTCCTTTACCTCGTATATCCCTCCCTTAGGATACCGAGTCCTGTTCTGGTCCATTTTCTTTTGTCCTATTGACCCCCGTGATCATTGGCCATCCTCCCCACCTTAAACCGCCATATTTCTTGTTTTTTTACCTCGGATCTAATCGATCTCGAGTCCTGTTTCCCCCATCTGCTTCCCTACGATACTCTCATTCCTCGGGGCTTCCTCACGCCAAGCTCATAGCATGCATCATCACAACAACCACCCTCAAGGCCTCAACCCTTCTTCTCAACCCCGTCCCGCTGCTGCTCCTCCTCCCCTATCTCCCCCTAAATGTCAAACTCACCCCATCAACCACTCATCAACCTTACTACCCCATGCTTCAAGCTCCCTACGCTCCCCAACGCTGCCCACGCCCTCTCCCTCTCCCGTGTGGTTAGGGTCTACTCCCTCCAACCAAGCGGCACCAGCGCAGCAGCAACCTGATCCACTCCTCTCTCCGTCGCCAGCAGATTATACTGCGACGCAGCATTTCTCGTATCCAGAACCTCGACGCGGATGCCCATGCTGTTGATCAGGGCCCTGGTAGCAGGGGAGATGGGACGGAGGGAGGGGCCGACGCCTAGGATTAGGAGGTCTTTTTTTCCCAGTTAGTCTCGCTGTTCGTAGGGTCGGGGTCGGGAGGGTAAGAAGAAGAGAAAGGAAAAGGCAAAGGGAAAAGAAAAAGAACATACCAGGCCGAGGCCACAACCTTCCCAAAAACCCCCACTGCTCTTCCCTCTCCAACACCCACTGTCCTTTTTCGTTGATCAATTTCCTCTTCATCTCTTTCCCCTTCTGTTCACCTCCAGCCTCATCTCCAACCTCAGCCTGGCCAGAAACCACCAACCAAGGCCTCCACTCAAAAGCTTCACCACCCACTAACAATACCCCGCTCCCGCCCGAGATTTGCACCCCGCTATTCAGCGCAAAGCCATCGTGGAAACACTCGTCTATGGCCGTGGACGGGATGGGCGTCTGGCCGAGCATGTCCATCTCGCTGAAGTCGGTGGTGGGAGGGGAGTCCGGGATGGGTTCGTTGTTGTGGGCTAGTTTTTGTTTCTTTTGTTTGAAATACTGGGGTGTGGTGCTGAGGGACCTGATGGTTGTCCAGTGGGCGGTGACATTGTTATTTTTGGTAATGTTAATAATAAGTGTTGATGAGGGTGAGAATGAAATGCGCGGCGTGGTGAGAGTGAACAACGCGCTTGTGCGCTGAACGGCGCGGAGGATGGTTGAGCGCATTGGGTTGATTGGTATTGCCATTGCGTTGACATGCATGTTGAGGTTGAAGGTGAGGTGGTCACAATTGGGGATTGAAATTGAGAAATCGATAAGAGCTCGACGTCATTCCCGCTAGCAAAAAGATCGGGTGGTGCATGCCCAGAATGTCCCGTTTTCAGATGACACAAATGGCGCTGAACAAGTCGTTACTTTGAGGAGCACAATCACAACTGAGGAAAACAGCACTTGAATTGGGTATATCATTATCACATAAACATAAAGATATTGCTGCACAAGTTTTTGGCGGTCATATTGAGTGTCTTGCGGTTCATCGTCTTGCAGTCATCCACGGACGCCTTGACGCCCTCCTAATCCTAAGCCAAATCTATATGTAGAGATATAGCAGAGGCAGGGCAACGCCTAGGCGGATGTTCTCTTCTTTCTCTCCAGCAGCATTGCCCAGTTGTTCGGTTGGTCGGTGAGAGCACGGCTTGAAGTCCAGTTTCATTGATGGAACCTCATTCCGGGGTGAGAAAGCAGCCCTAAGAGAACAAGAGACAACCGATAAAATCCCCGGCTGTATTGTGTTGCTGTGTTATGGCATCGCAATGCTGTGCAGCCCCCTTTTCCCAATTGAACACCGAAGCAATGAGACCGTCAACCTTGCGCAACCATGTTTGTTGATTTCCCCCCAAGACAAAGACCCAAAGAAAGCTGACAATTTAACTTGTTTACTTCTTGGACTTCTCGGCCTGGCTCTGCTCCTTGAGGACCTTCTTGACGATCTTCTGCTCCTCAATGAGGAAAGCACGAACGACACGGTCGCGGACGCAGTTGCCGCAGCGGGAACCACCGTAGGCACGCTGGACAGTCTTCTTGGGCTTGGAGAGCTGAGCGTACTCGCGGGGGCGGAGGGCAGGGACCTGTGTGATAGCAAGGTTCCGTCAGCATACGTGTTTCGGCGCGTCGCAACTGTTGCGGTAGTCCATAATCCCCCTCCTTCTTCAAAATCCATTATGCTGGGGGGTGCCGGGCCAGGTTGTCGGTCATAATCTCGTCTGTCGTTCTCGTCGTGGTCGTCGCCGTCACAGTCCTCTCCAACCTCCACATGTCGGGCAGCACATTTGATTCCTTCCAGTCCTCCCAAGTTCGTGTATGCTCGTGATTGGTCGTTGGGACGTGGTTCGTTCTCTGCGCAGGTCGGTCGAGTCGTTTTGGTCGTTCGGTTCCTCCCCCAGCTTATCCCCCAAGTTCGTCGCTTCGCAAAACCGTAAAACATTGTAAATAACTTACACCAGGGAGCTTGATGCCGCAGTCACCGCACTTGGGAGCGGTACCACGCTTCTTGATGTGGAGAACACGCAGCTGACCGCCGGGGGTCTTGACAACCCGCGTCTTGTTGGACGTGGTGTTGTAGCTGTTGTGCGAGAAAGGCGAAAAAGTTAGCCCATCGTGTTCCCCCGTTCCCCAGCAATTCTCCTCATGGAGAAATTCAAAAATGATCAAAACTCACGGGTTGCGGCGGCGGTAAGTGACACGGGAAGACGCCATTGCTGCGGTGTTGCTGTCGAGTTTCGATGCTGCAAAACTATCGCTCACGACTGCGAAGTGGATGAATTTTGAAGATTGGTGGTTAGGAAATTTCTGTGCGGGCGCCCAGCGCAAGCCCCACCCAGCCCCAGTGCGCGGTGCTTGCCCAGTGCCGTCCGCGAATGCTGGCCAATCCTGCTTAGGTAATGGTGTGGCTGGTGCACAGGCTCACAGCCATCGTGTGGATGAGCACTGAAGATCGGTCTTGGCAACGCCCAGACGTCGTTGGATTGAGAGACAGCTGCCAGCGTGCACTGTCCAGCCTTCAACTTCAAGCATTCAGCAGGGGCAGCTGTCACGTAACCCCTTTCCTTTTGTTGACAAGACATGGTGTTACAATGAATAAGAAAAGTATGAAGTTCAACGACATTGCTGGCTCTGCTAAATCTGCCTAGGCACCAGCCAGCATATCAATGTCACCCATGTCAGTTTAATTTGAACACGAATGGAAGAACGTACCACTTCGCATCCTCCCCTCCTTTTTATTAGTGACTAAGAAATGTTTGCCTCGATCGACATGAGAGATAACGACCAATCGCAATCGTAACTTTGCTTCTCAGACCGCTTCAAGTGTCTTCACTGCATCCTTCCAAATGATATGAGCACAGCCAACTATTCCCATGCAAGAACTGTGCACCCAAGGACCCCCCCTTCACTGTTATTTGATAACTCGCCGGGTATTACCAGAGCAGCCCATTGAAACCGCAATCATGTCTTCCGAAGCCGACCCTAACTCCCAGCGCCAATCCCATACTCCAGAAGCAAATGCCAGCCCATAGTAAAAAATTATGAATCAAAAAGCGTGTATGCTCGTGCCGTGGTCCATCGTTCTCCGTCGTCAAGACTGCTTGAGCCCGTTGTTTAGCCTTCTCCTCTTTCTCGTCGTCCACTCGGGATCGTCCCTAGCTCTCCATGGTTTGATGCCCATAGGATTTGTCCGCCGGCTTTCGTTGGCCATGTTGAAGACCTTTTCGGTTTCGGCGCTGCGAATGGTGTCCTTAAACTGGTGGATTTCCTTCCCCGTATCCTGCACCGCATTTGAAAAGGCGGCGAATGTGTTTTGGGCTAGTGACCATGTTAGCTATGCAAGTTGCCCCGGATAGGGCTATGGATATCCGAATGTGTTTGCCCATCGGGCGGAAGACAGCACATACGTGAGGATGGCTTCACGGACATGGGGTGGAACATGCGTGGTATCGCGGAGCGAAGACGCTGAAGCTGTAGCCCAACGACGGCGAGTTAGAATAAGGTCTATAGGGGGATGTCAACCGGTGTGTGTGTGTCTTGACTTGCCTGCACGTGCAGCTCGTTCAGGTAGTCAAGCGCATCCTCGAGGCGCTCCTCTTCCTGGAGACTAGCATCCTTGGGCGCTTGCGTTTGGTTGTTTGCCATGGCCGCCATCGAGGATGCGCTCCTGTGCTGGCAATGCGACGGGTCCTTGAGGTGCAAGCAACTCGGACCGCAAGGTTCTAGAACGCGTAGCGAAGGACAGCGTGACAGCAGGCGTGACTATCCAGAGGGGGAAGACGGCAATACAACATGGAATGCCAAATGCAATGGCGATCCAGTTCCGCATCCGGTCCTCTATTGAATCACAGGGCACCGCAACACTCCGAGGCCAACTCTCACAGCAACCCAAGCGCAGTTGGAGGGGGAGTTGCGAAGCTAATAACGGAGACAGCAGTCGCCGATGCGGATGGGAGATGTCAGGTGGGGCGGGGATTGACAAGTCCCAGTCGGTCCCGGGCAATGGTGGGAATGGATATCAGGCGCTGGACCAGTCGTTGTTGTCGCCAGGACGGTTGGTGAACGTCAACTCGACCGGGAAACGGGAACCCTCGACAGGGACCAGGGGGGTGACAAGGAAGGAGAATGGACGCGGAGACAGCAGGAAAGGCACGCGGCTTGGCTGGTCTCGGGGGCTACTGGTCTGGTGTGTAGGATAGCGCAGGCGTGTAGCGGTACTAGTTCGCGGGCGGCTGTCGTTGAAATGATTGAATCGCGTGCCTGGGGGGCTGAGGGGGGGTCTGGCCGACGGAGAAAGAGCTTGCGATGCTCAAAGGGACCCGCCCAGAAAAAGGAGGAATGCGGTGTGGTGTCCAGCGCTCCGGATTGGCGCAAAGTCGTGGGTGATGGATCGATAGACGGAAGGGGGGCGTCTTTTTGAGAGTCGGTGCGGGAAAGCGACGAGAGATGGAAGGGCCGAGCTTGGAAAAGGGAAGGGGGTGTGTCGGTTGTCGGGTGGTGACGAACGGGTGTCCTGTGGAAAAGGTGGGAAAGGTACAGGTACTTTGGCCCAAGGCCCCGGTGAGCGGGCCCAGGCTTTTGTTTCCTTGCGCTTTGGAGTCGACCTTGGATGCATTTGGCTGGGCTTGCCGGGGGGGGCCAAGAGCCCAAGAGGGTGCGGGCTGTGGGTTTGGCAGGAGTGGTGCCTTCCTTCGATCCTTCTGAGGGAATGAAGGCGGTCCACGACCAGCAGGTGGCCCAAGCTCGTATGGATGAATTTTTCGCGGAATTGCCTTGTTGTGCTAGCAAATAACATGAGGGAAACTTCCATGGGAAAGAGGAGCGAGGGCAAGCCACCTTCTCAATCAAACTTTGCTCATCAAATTTTCAGACATCACCGGGGCGTGGTTCACAAACAGACAGCTAGGCCGTTTAAAGCGTCCGAGACGGAACGACCTTCATCCGAGTGCACGACGTTGATCTTCAGAAAGGCAAAAGTCCCCGGCATCGAATCGAGGCACTCACTCACTTCACTGGACACTCGACGACAGGTTACAGTCTAGCAAAGTAGAAAGTGGTTCTCTGACTTGCTTCAGTCCCGTCTCTGCTGCTGCTTCAAGTCATACCTTACCTCTAGTCTCGACCAAGAAACAAGAACAAGTTCCTGCCTGTCTCGCACAGCACGAACCGAACCAAGGAAGGAAGGAACCGTCCAAGTCTTGCCCACTGTGAGTGCTACACACAGTACTACTTTTACCTGTCACTCATCCCACCTGCCCGCGCCGCCCACCACTCACCTACCACGGACCTGTCCCCAAACACACCAAGCAGCACGACCCCAACTGCACACAGTATCCCTCCACTGGCTGCGACTGGCTTGGTCACCAAGTGGAAGTCACCACCAACAACCTTTCAGCAGTTGCTTCCCATCACTCCCAGGTCAGCACGACCACCACCAAGCAGCAGCAGCACAGCACCACGGCAGCAGCTTGTCCTTCCCATTCTGCCCGCCCACTGCCCGCCGCTCTCTCTGCTTGTGTTGTGCGTCCTTACAACCTGTGCGGAGATCCACGGCAGTCCCTCGCTCTCGAGTCCCCCGTCCGTCACGCATAGTCAACCCCCCCGTACCGTACCCTCTACCTCCTACCTACCTACCGGCCGTCCTGCTTACTTTCTTTTCGTCTTCTCGTGTTGGAATAAAAAGACACCTCAGTCGCTGTCTGTCTGTCTGTCCCTCGCCAATGGAAGCCCACGCCCAGCCACAACGGTCGCGCAAGCGCCCCTCTCGCACGACCCGCGTCCCTGACGCTGGAATGGTGCCAGCGCTGCTGTTGGCGCACAGGGCCCTGGAGTGCCAGTTCCAGTCCCGGTGAGCCAAGGTTGGGGCCAGCACCCCGTCCAGAGCCAGCACCAGCACACTGTGCAGCAGGTCCAGCACCCGTCGCAGCACGGTGTCCCTCAGCACTCGCAGCACGCCCACCAAACCCACCAGGTTCAGCAGCCACACCCCGGCGCTCACCCACACCAAGCCCATCACCAGCAGGTCCAGGTGCAGCACCAACACCAGCACCAGCATCCGCAGGCCGTGCGCGCCCACCCCGACACGGTGTCTGCTCAACCTCCCACCTTTGCATCGCAACAGCTCGACACCAGATCCCACCAGGTCCCTGCCGACACTGACGGCTTGATGAACGGCTACAACGCTCCTCAACATCAGCAGTACCCCGATCCTCCCCCATCTTCTCTCGCTCCCACTCCCCAGCAAGACAACCCCGGCCTCACCTCTCTTAGCAACCTGACCGGCGATAACGGTGCCAGCCATCACCATCAGCAGCGTTCCCAGCATCAGCAACTCCAGCTCCAGCACCACGCTCAACAGCAGCAGCAACAACAACAGGTACAGCAGCAGCAGCAACAACAACAGGTACAGCAGCAGCAGCAGCAGGCTCAGCAGGTCCAACAGCAGCAGCAGCGCTCGTCTGTTGCCCCGTCGACCACTACGGATCGCGTCAACTTCAACACGTACCCCAACCACTCCGCTCCAAACGACTCATCCCCCTCTCCTGTCACCGTGGCCACCTCCAGCGCCGGCTACAACAACCTGTCCGGGTGGACGCAACCCGTGACGAACTCGACCGCGCAGTCCACCATGCCGCCCCCTTCACCCGCGCCCGCGCTGGCCCCGCCACCCGAGGGTATTTATCGTACCTTTGAGGATTTGCTGGCCTCGGTTCAAAAGGTTGCAAAGGATCAGGGTTACGGAGTTGTCAAGCTGCGTGCCAGCAACTACCGCGAGGGCAAGCCTACGCGTTACGACCTTGTGTGTGACCGCGGCGGTGTCAAGTACAGCAGCACCGCGAAGAAGCGCAATCCCAGCACTCGCAAGGTTGATTGCCCATGGCGCGCAAAGGCGGTTTGTGAGGTCAATCTGGGCAACCAGTGGCGATTTGCGGTGCAAGAGGCCCGTCATAACCACGAGCCGCGTATACCCGCTGCTGTGCCGGGACAGGAAAACACCCCCATCGCACAAAGCATCCGCAGCATCACCAACAAGATTGACCGATTGCAGCACGATCAGACTACGAGCTTCCAGAGGCTAGAGGCCAACGTCTCTACCATCCTGGCACGAATCGACAACATGGAGAAGCGGCTCGACGCGATAGAAAGTGGCCGTCCGTCAATGCTTGGAGGCAACGGCGTGCCCTCGATGGGCACCCCGAGCATGCCTACGGCTAATATGGGAGGCGGAAATCTCGGTAATGGGCCCATGACGAACGGTGGTATGAGCGGCGGCCACATTGTTGACACTCGGTTGAACAGTATGGAAGCTCGAATGAACGCCATGGAGCAGCGCGGCAACCCGATGGACAGCCTGCCCATGATGGACGACGACACAGGCCGCCTGGCTATGAATCAAATGATGGTTTCTACGTAGTGCGAAGGTCCGTCATCACATCAGACGCACGCCGGTCCTCAGTCAGTCGCCCCAGGCAACCCGACCCCTCGATCCCGACACAGTACGCCATCGCAACCGACCATTAAAAGCGAAGGGCCGCGACAACAGCAAGAACGTCGATCGTAGGCCGATCTGCTTGCAGCCCAGAGAGATATAACGAGGAGTGATGATGACGGTACACGCTTCACCCCCTTTGTTTCCTTTTGGAAAACATAAAAGGGTGGTTTATATGACTAGATGATTGAGCTCCCCTTATTAGAGGGTTTGAGCACTCATCATGCCTTTTATGATCTCCCTTCTCTTCATGTCTCATCATCCTTGTTATTCTTCCGTTTGCTCGCATTCTGTCAGTACCAGAGCGGCAGGGTTCACATATCTACACTGGAATAGAAGGGGCATCACGTACTACACAATCGACGTCATAAACGGGCTTTGGGGTTGCGGCTGTTGGGGTTGGTGCGGGTGCAGGGAGGTCAAAATGGAACACGGGTTTTTGGCTTCTGTCTTCGATCTACCGTTTTTTGTGTTTTTTTTTTTTTTTTTTTGCTTCGCCCGAACCTGTCATGTCTTCGGATTCTTTGCAACAAACGCACACGCGGGAGGTGAATGGTCCTCCCAGTCATTTTTACTATTATGCATTTTGTTTTCTTGCTCATATCTAACGTGTAGGTTAACGGCCTAACCTCATACTTGGCGTACCGGGTGCGGGCTACAGCGGGTTTGAGTTGATCCTGTCTGCTGCTATATGACTTGTTATACGTCATATCACGGCCCAAATGGGCTTTCTTTTGTCCTTTTTTAGCTCTCTACCCGGAGAATAGCTACCGGCTTGGGGTGTTGTGGGAAAGGGGTAAAACGGGGGTGTGGCATTGGGGTGAATGGGGTTGTCTTTACATGTGTCCGAAGCATGTCAAGCGAAAGGGGTTGTTGTCACGAATTTTGCTGTCTGTTTTTTAGTTAATTATTATTATCTGGCTTTACTCTGGGGATCGGTACTTTTCAATACCTCTTCCTGGCTCACATTCTGGCCTTGCTCTTGCTTAGAAAGGCAAGAAGGCGTGGACGTGGACGGGAAAACGACAAGAGGAAGAGGAGGAAAATAACCCAAGCGCCGATCCAAACCGGGCTGACGATACCCTAAATAGGCGATGAAGGTTACAAGGAGAGGACGTGGGGAAAGGAAGAGGAGAGGAGAGGAGAGGAGAAGAGA